AACGGGTGCTGCGACCGCCCCGGTTATCCTCACCCCCATGCAGCAACGCATCTGCAACCTGCTGGGAGAAGCCACCATCATAAGTTTGCCGAGTGGGGACTGCAGTGCAGGTGACGGGACCGAGATACCCATCACCGCATCAGCCACCACGGTCACCCTGACCCAGAGTGAGTGCTGTGCCTGCTGAAGATGCTCTGTACTGAATTGGAAGGTCGTGCGGGGGGCCCAGACCCGCCTGCGAGGAGGCCCTGAGCCCTGTACGGGGAAAGCCCCAGCAAAAAGAAACCCCCGCGTCTCTGTAATGAAAATGCCATTCCCAGTATGTCCTTGTACTGTAGGGGAGTGGCTGCAAGATACGCACGTACTGAAAGTCAGCTTTGCTAGCTGGGCTCGGCCTTAAGAACAAGGGAAGCCAGTATCCTTTGCACCGTGCAGATTCTTCGGTCCCCTCTCTGGGGACAAAAGCAGGGGGAGAAACATCTCTAAGGCTGATTTCCCAGTCTGCCCCAAAGAGCAGCTGTCCTTCTAAGTGCCATTCTGGGTCTTATGTCAGTCGGTTAATGCCGCTTGGAAAGATTGTTCTGAACTGGAGGTTGAGAAATTATTTTGTCTAGACAGATAAGGCATGCCCTATTCCTTTGGACTGTACAGCCTAGAAGGAAGCTCAAATGAGGGTGGAGTAGACTTAAATAGGTCATTTTGTGCATTGCTGTTCATTGTATGTTATCTCACTGAACAGGCAGTATTCCTGTGATATTCATTGAATAGTCCTGTAGATAAAAATCCCCATATGGCAGCTACTTCTCACCCCCTTTCTGTCCTTTGTTCTCAGTTCCTGCAGAGACAACCTACCACAGTCTGGAGGACGGAGTCGTGGAGTACTGCACAACAGAAGCCCCCACCACAGTCACCGCCGAAGCACCCTTGGAGATGATGGCGCATCAACACGAAGTGTCTGCAAAACCCCAGGAGCTGAAAAGCCGAATTGCTCTGAACTCAGCCAAGCTCTTGCAGGAGCAGCGAGTGACCAACTTGCACGTGAAGGAGATTGCCCAGCACCTGGAGCAGCAGAATGACTTGCTTCAGATGATTCGTCGCTCTCAGGAGGTGCAGGCATGCGCCCAGGAGCGACAGGCACAAGCCATGGAAGGAACACAGGCGGCATTGAGTGCCCTCATCCAGGTCCTCCGCCCCATGATTAAGGACTTCCGTCGATTTTTGCAGAGCAATACACCCAATCCGTCGGTCACCGCTGACTCCAGCCAGACAGGGCAGCAAGATGGCATTATCCAGTGAAAGAAACAGTGATGGGACAACTTTCCTGGAAGAAGCCTGCCCGTGCTGCCGGTGGACACAGGGAGCGAGGGTTGCTAGCTCTTGTCAATGTGAAATGGCTCGCCTTGGAGTCTTGCTGAGCCGAAACAGCTTTCTTTCTCTGTTAATCTTGTGCTAATATGCCTTCCCAGACTCGTCATACAGAGCCGTAGCAGGATGTGTAATAAACCAGGAACTTAACATTGGTTGCTTTAGTTCCTCAAACAATAGATTTATTAAAACAAAAGACAGTTTTTTTTTTTTATTTCTGCTTGGAAAAAAACTCTCCTAAGTGTGACACCTCTCTCTCTCTCAAGATCTATAGCCTTTAACTGACTTCTGATGTGGAGAGTCTTGTTGTGATAAGGTTATGGTAAAACTGGTTTGAAACTAAACAGCAGCGATGGGTGCAGCTCAACTCTGTTGTCAGAGGCCAAGCAACTTATTATAATTTCTCCTTTTTTTCCCTACCATTTCAGCTTCAAACCCCTAGAATAACTGACCTTTAGCCTTTCGTTCTCCATTTTGAAAGACGTGGTCTCTATAATCTGTCGATGCAATTTATCCACCAAAGCTTCTCTGTCCTCCCGCATCTTGTCCTCCAGGGTTGTCTGCTGTTCCAGCAAATCTGCAACACGGCTGCCATACAGAAAGAAAATTAATCTTTAAGTGACAAGAAAGAATAAGGCTCCTAACCCTTGAAAATTGCTTCAGAAACATAGCTTTTCCCTATCCTTTCATCTTGCTCCTCCAGTCATGTATGCACACCTATCTGTTACACTGTTCTACTACCTCAACCTTCTTAGCCTGCTGGAAATTAACTTGAGTTGTCGCCCTGGAGCTCAAATGCATTGCCTCCAAGATACGCAGGATAAAGAGGTACTTCTCTCCTCTTGTACCTACCTATTTTCTCCTGCAGCAACAACTGTCCTGCAGTAATACCAACACATTTATTTAGCTTCAAAACAAAACTGGCACAAACTATACTGCCTATCTCTTCTAATCCCTTCCATTCGAGCATCTCAAACAGATCTCAAAGGAAAGATAACCTTAATTCTTTCAAAGCATTACAAAATGGCAAGGGAACAGAGTTTTAAGGGTCAGCAAACCCTTAAAAAGCCTGCCTTTGCTGTGGCAACTCAGCAGCGGAAGCCACATCTCTCTCCCCCTCTCTTTCTCTCTCTCTCTCAATCTCTCCAAATTCTGCTCTAGTCCTTAGGCAGTGCTGGTTTTGGTTGGATATTTACAAGCAATCCAATTAAATTGTTCAATTTAATGGAATTATTCAATTAAATTCAATTAAGTTATCCTTGAACTTAGAACTCATCCCCACTCATGCTTGTTTCTCTACACTAATTTTATTTTAACCTGTTCAGCGTAACAGTTCAAGGTCACTCTTGTCCTTTACTACTTTGTTGTAGCGACTCCTCCTCCTAGAACTACTTTCTTGTAGGACTCCAGAATAGGCGGCACCTCAGCAACGTAACTGTCCTATTAAACAAAAGAAACACATGAGGAAAAGAGCAAGGGTGACAAAAACGTCACTGGACATGGGATATGCAGACAATATGCAGAGATACTGATATGGGTAAGCATGATACATGCAGAGACTTCACTAAGACTTTTAAAATATTAAGGACAAGTATTTATTTTTATTCTTCCTGATCCTTCAGAGAGATCACAGCACTGCAGCTGCCAAGGTACAGTTATCATAAACTGTAGTGCACGGTAGTGAATGCATTTCTGTCTCTTGCTGAAAGCATTTACTGGGAACACAGTACCTGATGTGGTACGACCTTCTCTCTGCACCAAGAGTTATGGATGCTGCTCTTGGAGCGTGACATGCAGCCCGTGCAGACCAGCACCAAGCCTACGTGCAGTTTAAATCCCACCTACATCCCCTGAAGATACAAATGGGATTAAAATAGTGCATTCACCTCATGTTCTATCTGCGTGCGATCATGAAATTTCACTATAAACTTGGCAGATGTGATGAAAATTTCATGTCTTGGTTACCAGATACTGATCTGGGGTACGTATCGGAAGCAATGTATTACCTGTCTCAGCGTAGTTAATAGACAAGGGCCTGGATGAGTTTCACTCGGGTGTAACAGGTGAAACTCCATCTCTGTCTCCTCTGCATAGTTTGTCACCTCCATAATACCTTGATCCATCAAAGTGGACCTGGACTGCAGAGCTTCAGCTACGCAGTAATTCCCAACATTTCAGAGTTTGTCAGCCACTGATTTAATTGAGTGAATTTTGGAGCATTATTTGGTTCTGCTGGTGGCGGTGGTATTTGTTCTGTAGTTGTTAGGAGCTGGAAGTGAGTACAGCCATCCTTTGTTAGTCTTGAGATGTTAGTCTTGAGTCTCTAGATGGCTTCGAGTGGCATTCTGAGAAATGGGTCTGAGGTTCACCTCACTATTTTCTCACTATTATACAGGGTAAAAGAACATTTGCAGCCACTTTTCTCTTCTTTGCGGTGTTCAGGCTGTAGGGCTTGGTCCTCAATGAGAAAGCTTATTTTCACAGGATGGTGAACATGATTCTCACAGACTTGCAGTAACTTCATAAACTTTTAGATTAAAAGCTCCACTTGTACATGCATGGAAGCAAACTTAGAAAAAAAGAAAAAGAAGGAAGCATAATTATTCTTCTCCCCGTACCTTGCAAAGTGTGACACATTTAATGGGCTTGTTGCTTGCCAGATATTACTTTTGAAATGGAACTTTTTCAGAGCTGGTATTTGCTTGCTGTTAAGTCTCCTTTAGGGCTGAGATGTGGTGAGCAACGACTGATGAGGCAGTGAATTTGCACAATCAAATTAAACCTTTACGCAGCCTTTTAGGGGGGGATGCTGATGGAGGACCCCTGGTTAGACAGTAGGTGAAGAGGCTACCGCTGCCTGTCTCTGGCCTTTACTCATCTCCTCTCGTCTGCAAGTCTGACGGGGTAGAAAAGGACAGCGCGGTGAGAAGGGTTTGGCCCCTGGAAGACTCCCGACCCTCTGGCACTGACATCTCCGTGCTGAGTCAGGGCGGCATCAGCTGCGTCTTCCCGCCTTGTCCGGCATGTCGCCACATGAGTAACACTCACCTGACTCTTCCTCTCAGACTTCATGGAATCAAATCAATTGCTCAACTGAAATTTATTTTTAAAGTGAAAACTATGTCAAATATATTGGTTTACCTCATTTGTGTAATGATCTCTCCTTTACAAATATGAATTTTAATAAAAAATACATTTTTGGTAAACAGGCTGTTTCAGTTCATCAGCATGCTCCAGGGCAAAAATGAGTTCATGGCAACAAGTTTGCAACACAATCCTCGCTGAGAAAGGGCCAAAGAAAGCTGTGAACAGCCACGTGTCTCGGTAGCTTTTTCTCTTGTTCATGAACTTTGTGGCCTTGTATTTACATAATTATGGTCTTTTTTTTTTTAAAATAACAGCTGTTACAGCCTTACCTTGGAGCACTAGTTATTTCATTGTTTATGACAGATTACCAAAGTACACTAATCTCCCAACTGCTCAGAAGATGCCACAATAGCCTAAAATGATGGATGAAGTACCAGCCTTTGGCTTTAAATTGCAGTGTGCATTTTTTCAGTGACTAAGCACTTAAGCTGTGTTACTCTTTCATAGTAGTAAACACGTTGCCCTTGGAACCACCCTTTTTTCTTGTCTTTTCAAGATAAATATAGAGCTTAGTCAAACCAGCAGCATTCAGGTGCAAGTTCCGTGTACAGGTTTTTGTCTCGTTAAAAAGATGTAGCAACATTTTAAATACAGGGTGAGCACTGTGATGAGGGGCTTGGTTGTTGCTCATGATGAGGTCATCAAACTTGGGGATGGAGAGAGAAAAGTGTCCCTTAAAGTCAAAACCAGGAGAAACAGGTAAACAGGGCACTTACAGGGCACTCAACTGAACAGGGAACTGGTGCCCAAACAGAACAAAAGCTGAGGAGTAACATCTATAGACGTTCATTTGTGCTCCTCCACTGTTCTTTTTGTACCTAGAGATTTGTATTCAGCATCCAGAGTGGGAGAGAGCCGCGCAGGGATGTTCTGCCGCAGGATACCTCAGAGGTGAGGGCGAGCAGCTGGGCAGTGAGCAGCAGGCTTCGTACCTGCTGGAGGAAGAGAAGTTTGGTGAGGGACTCTTGGTAGGTCAGAAGATGAACTTTGCAGCTATCAGAGGCAGCGGCCAAGCTGCCTGCAGCACCACTAGCTGCTTCAGGAGCAAAACTCTGGTTGTGATGTGTGCAGCTCAGGCATGGCTTTCCAGGAGATGGCACTGCGCAACGGGGCAAGGCGCGGGGATCCTGAGGTGCGGCAAAGTACCGCCCAGTGTCCGGCCCTAGCAGGATGGTCCCAGAAATGACCCTTGTCGTCCAGACCTTTCGTGATCCTTCTTGCTCCTCTCACTGATTAATCTTTTCAGGAGAGCCCAAAGAGGAAGAAATTCAATGGGCAGAGCTCAGGGATGAGGACTGTAGCCCTAGAAAAGTCTGGGTGTCTGGGAATGCAAACCAGGTCCCTCTGCTTCCCGCAAACACGGGCAGAGGATACTGAGATGTCGGGAGCTCATGGCTCTCTTTAGGGTGAGTTCACTGCAGAACCGAACGGGCAGGCACAAAATAAAAAAACCGCATGAATTCTTTAATTATAAGCAAGAGGACAGGTTTTAAGATTTCTAGAAGACACATAAATACATCAGTATCCCACGAGTACAATGCGCTGCCATAGCTACATCGCAGTTCTGGGAGCAGATCCCTGCCAAGGGACAGAATGATGTCACCAGCATACTCACCCAAATTACCTTTACCTCCTCCAGCATGTTTTTAAAGTTTGTCAAGCCTGTTTTTGGCAAAGCATTCTTCTGTTTTTTTTGTGTTTTTTCCTGTTGCTATATGAGAGGTTATTGCCAGCAGGTACTGTCAGCACAGTGTAGTCTGTTAAGTATGAAAATTTAAGATTCTTTGTCTTTCTCAAAAGCATCTGACAAGAATGATTGGCACAGCTACCAGGCTGCATTTTGCGAGCA